TCAAGGATTTAGGGGAACTTAGATATTTCTTGGGTATAGAAGTAATGAGATCAGATAAGGGCCTACTGCTAAACCAAAGGAAATATGCATTGGAGTTGATTTCTACCACAAGATTAGCTGAAGCTAAAAATTCTTCTACTCCCATTGAGACAAATCAAAAACTGACTACCACAGAGTAAGACAAACATGTAGGACACAATGGAGATAAAGAATTGCAGGATATAGCAAGTTACCAGAGGTTAGTGGGAAAACTGCTCTATTTAACCATCACACGTCCTGACATTTGTTTTGCTGTGCAAGTGTTAAGTCAGTTCATGCAACATCCAAAGCAATCTCACATGGATGCTGCACTTAGAGTAGTTAGATATATCAAAGGCTCACCTAGATTTGGTATGTTCCTAAAGAGGGGTCCTATCTCTCATCTCACTGCCTACTGTGATTCTGATTGGGCAGCATGTCCAAATACGCGAAGGTTAATTACTGGATATGTTATAAAACTGGGAGAATCTTTACTATCACGAAAGTCCAAGAAGCAGCAAACAATAAGTCATAGTTCAGCTGAAGCTGAGTATAAGAGTCTTGCAGTAGTAACAACTGAAATTACTTGGCTAGTTGGCTTGTTAAAGGAATTGAATATTGCTTTACAACAACCAGTTGATCTCTATTGTGACAACAAAGCTTCTCTCCAAATTGTAGCAAATCCTATATTTCATAAACGAATAAAGCATATAAAAATTGATTGTCATTTTATCCGAGAGAAGATAAAAATGGACTGCTCATACCTCATCATATCTCAACAAAGCTTCAGTTGGAAGACATCATGACAAAAGGACCTGGTGTTGTACAACACTGTTTTCTTCTTTTCAAGCTAGGAGTGTTCTATGTATTTCACTCTCCAGCCTGATGGGGAGTCTTGGGATATAATGGACCAAATTGTACACAATAGAAGTAGAAGGGAGTTGTTTTGAGTTAGTTAATATTAGTTACTTATTAGTGGCTGTTTTGACAGCTGTAAGTGAGCTTTTAGTTAGTTAGCACTATATAGTACAGCCTTGTATTGATCAACAATTCCAGAAGAATACAATTACGATTTCCCTTCTTCCTCACTTCATTTCTCTATTTTCTCGAGCTAGAATCAAACATAGTACATTGACAAACAATCTTCTTGGTCTAAGAGCAGCCTGAAATTTACACTCAGCGTGAAGGAAAGTGCTTTTACTAGTGAAGTCGGTCCCCGAAATTCCAATGACAAAGTCAAAATTATAGTGGCCTCCTTAAAATTAGTTTTCTAACTTTTTTGATTAATAAATAGAACTAGATCTCGACCTGCCTTTCTCACACCAACAAAAATAGATCGCAACGCCTAGGGGCGGATACACGTATACCCAAGCGGCGTTTGTGATGATCCACAAGGTTATCTCATATTTTTGAACCCAATTCGGAGTTCCGAGGCCTTTAAGACGTTATATTCTTTTTCCTCGATTTGCGTGCAGTTCGGGCGCGTTTTCGAAAAGCCTTTGTGTGAAAATTTGAGAAAATGCTAAGTTTTGCCTTTAAAATTGATTTAGTTGACTTCGGTCAAAATTTAGAATAAACAGACCCGAATCCATATTTTGATGGTCCCGGAGGGTCCGTAGTAAAATATAGGACTTGGGCGTATGCCTGGAATTGAATTCCGAGGTTCCTAGCCCGAGAAATAAATTTTTGAAGAAAATTGTTAAACTGAAAATATAATGGTTTTTAGAAATTAAATAATGTTTGATCTTGTTGGTATAGGGCCCGTATTTTGGTTTCGGAGCCCGGTACAGGTCCGTTATGATATTTAAGACTTGTCTGTGAAATTTGGTAAAAACGAAAGTGATTTGACGTGATTCAGACCTTTAGTTGAAAAGTTAGAAGTTTTGAACCTTTCTTAACAATTTCATGCAATCTGATGCTAAATTCATAGTTCTAGGTGTTATTTTGGTGATTTGATCGCGCAAGCAAGTTCGTATGATGTTTTAAGACTTGTGTGCATATTTGGTTTGAAGCCCCGAGGGCTTGGGTGAGTTTTGGTTAGGCTACGACATGATTTTGGACTTGGGAAAATGTTGCTGGTATGCTTCAGCTATTGCAGACCCCTGATCTCGCAAATTGTGAGATCAGGCATCGCAATTGCGAGCCCTGCAGGGTCCGCTTTTGCGAGCCTTTCTTCGCAAATGCGACTAGGAGACTGGGCCAGCAGAGTTCGCAAATGCGAACGAACCTTCGCAAATGCGAAGTAGTCAGGGAAGAGGGATCATCGCAAATGCGACCAAAGGTTCGCATTTGCGAGCTTCGCAATTGCGAAGCTTAGGTCACAAATGCGATACCTGCAACCGCGCAAAAAGGGACTTAGATGGGATTTTTGATTCATTTCTCAAATTTTCAAGCCCTAAACTTCAAGAGGCGATTTTTCAAAGACCATTTCTTCCCCAAATCATAGGCAAATGATTCTTAGCTCATTTCTTTCAATCTATTTCATCTTTTTATAAGATGTCATCCTAGAATCTAGGGTTTTTAATGGCGGAATTGAGTATTTTTGGGTAAAACTTAGGGATTTCAAAATTTAGAGATTTAGACCTCAAATTGATGTCGGATTCCAAAACCAATTGTATATGCGGGCTCGAGGGTGAGTGGGTAATCGGGTTTTGGTTTGAACTTCGAGTTTTGACCAAGCGGTCCCGGGGTCGATTTTTGACTTTTTGGGAAAAATATTGGTAAACTTGTAATTATGAATTGGAATTGATTTCTTTAGCGATAATTAATGTTATTAAGTTAATTATGACTATATACGAGTGGATTGGAGGTGGAATCGAGAGGTAAAACGGTAATTGAAGCTTGATTTTGGCCGTGGAATCGAGGTAAGTATTGTGACTAACCTTAGCTTGAGGGATTAAGTGTTGTTGCCTTATTTACTACTCCCTCTGTTCCAGTTGATGTGAACATATTTCCTTTTTGGTCCATTCAAAAAAGAATGACGTCTTTCTAAATTTGGTAACAATTTAGCCTACACTTACAATTCTACCCTTAATGAGAAGCTTTTATAACCACACAAATACTCTGGACCCCCTTTTAACTTGTTTAGGTCCACAAATTCCAAAAGTCTTCATTTTTTGTAAACTCCGTGCCCAGTCAAACAGGTTCACATAAATTGGAACAGAGGGAGTACTTGTTTAGTTATTGAGTACAACGTATAGGTGAGGTGACGAGTATCTATACGTTGTTGTTAGGTCATAACATGCGAGTGAATCTTATACTTGTGACTATTGTGTTTCTTTATACATACTGTTCATGCTTAAACTAGTTATTCTTTATGTTAAACTAGTCTTATTATGTTTTCCTGGTGTTGGATAATTGTTGAGTATTGACTCAAGTTGAGAATCATATAGTGAAGTTAAATGTTGAAGCGAGGTTATTTATTGATAATTTCCCTTGTAGGATTGATACTATTTCTGCTGTTTGGGTGAGGAAGAGTGTAAAGCACGAAGAGTGATGCCGTGTAATGTTTTGTGAGCGAGTGATAATGCACGAAAGGGTGATGACGTGCCATATTCTGTGAGTGTTGATGCAAGAAGGGTAATGTCGTGCCGTATTCTGATATTGATAATGCACGAAGGGTGATGCCGTGCCGTTTCTGTTGTTTCTTAAGCACGAAGGGTAATGCCGTGCACATGATTGCTGTGTTATTACTTTTGTCGATTCAAAGAATGATATTTACTGATTTCCTGTTCTGTACTATTTTCAGAATATTCGTAGTCCCCTCAACATGTTTTCCCCTTCCCGTTATGATCTGTTAAATTTATGTTATTATTATTCTCTCGTTTATGATTTAACTGCACAAGTTTATATTATTGTCGTGTCCTAGCCTCGTCACTACTTCGCCGAGTTTAGGCTCGACACTTACCAGTACATGGGGTCGGTAGTATTGATACTACACTCTGCACTTTCTTTGCAGATTTCGGTGCCGGACCTCATGAGTAGAGTTGGGTTGTTGCCTTCAGTCCACAGGAGACCCAAGGTAGATCTGTCGGCGTTCGCAGATCTTGGAGTCCCCTTCCCTCTATCTTAGATTTCCTGTCTCTTTTCATTTCGAGAACATATGTATTTCCTTTAAACCGGTGTTTGTGGAAAATTCTTAGAAGTTCGTGGATTGTGACACCAGATCTTTAGGGTTAGCCGTGCATTAGTGTTTTAAACTGTTAAAATTTTTTTGCACTTCATATATGTTTAGTTTAAATTAATGTTAATTACTGTTTTGGTTAATGATTAATGTGTTAGAACTGTATCTGTTGGCTTGCCTAGCATTCTATGAGTTAAGCGCCATCACGATCCCGACAGTGAAAAATTTGGATCGTAACAGTGTCACGTGACACCGCTTCGTCGGAAACATCTACTACATACATACAAAGAATACTTGACAAACATATATTATTTGTTTCCAATGACATCACTTAGCAATTCACATTGCGTTGTCCACTGGTTAAGCATGTCTTTCCTTTGCAAGGGTCGGGGGATCAAACCACAAAAGCCACATTAATTCCTTACACTTTTTAGCCCCATTGTCTGAAAATAGCATGGATGAACTATGAAGCTCTCGTAATATTCCAAGTGATAAATATTTCTATTTCTATAGAATTACTAATCCTAAACTTTGTAAAGGACTACGTAATTCTACTTATACAGAAAAATTGTCTTGTTCTTTTTCATTTCCTTCAATATAGATGAAGAATTAAAAGATAGAATATTTATGTTTGTGGTGAAATTTCTTTAATTATTTACTATCGTTAATTAGTAGCTTTATAATTCAATATTCATTTTAGTTTTTAGATGTGACATCGCTTGTGAATAATTCTGCGTACGCCACTGGCCAACCAAGGAGGAATGCGTGTTGACGTTTCGTGACATAGGCCTCTAACCTGATCTAACTACCTTATCCGTAGCTTACAAGCTGTGTCATAGTGCATACGAATTCTTGAATATACAATCTCAGAAATAATATGCAACATAGGATTATATGATAAGGAAGACATTGTTTTTAAAAAATAAAAAAAGGAAATACGTACAAATAAACTTATCTCTCCCAATCCATATTCCATATCCGAATGCAACTCTCCTATAGTGCTTATTTTGATATCTCCAAGACTCTCCGCTTCCCCATCCATCCACCTGACTGGTTTCCAGGTTGGTTCGGGTGCTCAAACACTATCGCAATCTCTCCCTTGTGAGGCTTGACCACATTCGTCTTCACTCGGAACCAGCAATTATTCATCATTCCCTGATTATTGTACAAAATTAGTTAATTAACATCCAACAAATTGCATGGCACGCAGTTTCAATTTTCAGTGAAGGTTTTTGATTTTAAAAATAAACGTCTTATTTTCACTAGAGAATATAATTAGACCATGGATTCAATAAGGAAGAATAATTATACTATTAGACTATGGATTAAATTATACACATACACTAACAAACTACACTATTTGTATATTGTAACTAGATATGGTAAGTAATTATTTGCTTTATTTCCTAAATTACCAAATCAAGCTTTTTTGCTTATTGTTGTAGAATACTTTAACTTAATAGTGTAATATTTTTACGTCATCAGCGTACATTGGAACTCATTAAACTATGTTGCGAGTTGATAGTTAAAAAGGTAAAAGAGATAGTGAATTTTACCATGACGTTCCAAATAAGCTTCTCGGGTTGAGTATTGAGGGTCTCATCCCAAGCTCGAACAGCAATTTCTTTGGCACTGAGCAAGCCTAACACCTCAACCTCGAGTGACCAAAAGCACCAGCACCAGTACTTGCCATACTTTGTGGGCTTTTCTGGGTGCACTACTCTGCACACTAGCCACGTGTCTCCACCATCCATTGTCACTTCCACACGTGTTACCTTTTTCCCTCCACCTGTGCGTTGTATTTAAAGAAAGAGGAGAAAATTTAAAAGCAAATCCCTTTGGGTTTTTATAGAAAAGAAAAAAAAGAAAACAGAGTCAAACGTATACTAACCAGAATAAGCGTAGCCCTTCAACGTGTAAGGTTGTCGAGCCGTCCACGAGTTAATAGGCAAGATATCTTCATGACTCGGCGTTGTAATAACAGAGTTGATATTGAGCTCATTGATTATGTATTCTGGCTTGTACCACCATCCTGCACACAATTATATTCATCGCGCAAAACATTCCAAAATCTCTAATTTTTAGTGTACATCACTATACATAGAGGGTTAACAGCTAACCTATGAAAAGAAAAAAAACAGCGCGCTACCCTGTAACTGTAAAGACGAGTTAGCATTTCCCAATGTATATATGTCCCGTTATCCTTAACCTTCCTAAAATATGACAACTTATAATTGACCTAAGAAAGACAGAAAAAACAAGTATGCAAGACACAACATATTCAATTAGTCGTGATCTATTATAATAAGTACAAACTATTAACTTGAGAATATTGTAATTATACATTGTAACGTGTTACCTATATGATAGTATTTACATTGTATATATAAGTTTAACTATCAAAAATAGAGTATATATAAGTTTAATTCAACTAAAAGTACGTTATTCCATTGTTGCCACTAATGTGATAATGTAAAGTTAGTTTTAGACTATGCATCAGAGTGAAAAATTCAAATAATTTTTATGAACTTAAATCTCAAATGCTGTGTAACGTGTATAGAAATTAGTTAATACATCAAATTAGAACCTCTAATACACTGATACAGTAAGGAATTTGTTAATACCACCATATCTATTGAGAAATACTTCCTCCATCGCAATGTATGTGAAGATGTTTGAATGGTGCGGAATTTTTTAAAGAAAAAGACCTTAAAATATTCCATATATATTTATGGTTATAATTTAATAAATTATTTTATAAATAAAAAAATTATTTTTTTAGAATAAACTAAACATAAAAGAATGTCAACATATATAAAAGGGAGTAACTAATTAAGGTAACCACTCACAAATAGTGAGACGAGTGACTTGGTAGCATGTTAAAATATACTACTAGTAGTGTAAAGATATGCCTCTCTATATATATATATATAAATTAAGTCCTTGCAGTAGACAACATAATGTGTATTGAAACATGTAGCTTGTCTTATTTTCCCCTTTTATGGTGTTAAGCTATAGATATCTTTTGGATAAATTAAACTCATAATTATACTAAATGGACAAATTAATTAGTCATCTTAATTCAGAATTACGTACCATCAGCATTAGCAAGTTCAGCATTAACATGAGAAGGAAGAACTCTATTATCCTTGTAATGATAATAGCTCACGGACTCTTGGGTAGTGACTACAATTCTTTTCAACCACTTCACCATTCTTCCGCCAATGAATCCTGGAATAATCATTCGTGCTGGAAACCCGTGGTCGGGTGCCAATTTTTCTCCGTTCTGCATGTAAGCTATGATGATATCTCGTGCTGGATCCATTGCAAATTCCTTCTCAATGCTGGTTCCATACTTTGAACCACAACCTCCGGGCAATACATCCGCACCTTCGAAACAAACGTTAAGAGCCCCTTTTTTCCTGCTATAAATACCGCACCGTTTCAGCAAGGCGCGAAGGGGTACTCCGCGCCATAGAGTTGTTGAAACGGCAGCGGCACCCCAGTTGAAACCAATGGTTTGTTTAACCATGTTCTGTTCTTTCCTTCGATTGCCAGCACACACAAGCGTAACGGGCAATTCTCTACAAGGGAATTCATTAACCAACTGGTCCATTGTGAATTTCATAGAACGCTTCACTAGACCCGTGACTTCCACGGTCCAGTCATCCCACGTGCCCTTGGGAACCGGTCCGTGGTTACGAACGTAATGAAGTGGGACCGGTGTGATAAAACCGTGGTGCATGAGCCGGTTCAAGGGTGGTTCGGAGTTAAATGGATGTTTTCCAGTAAGACGAATCAAGGAAGCGTTCCGTTCGACCCAATTATCAGCGGTACCTTCGTCCCTAGTGTCGTGAACAGATGGCTCTAACTCTGAATTTCCTTTTTTGATCATTTGAAGGTACTCGTTATTTTGGTGGTCATCTTCATCATCGTCCTCGTCGGATGATAAGTATTTGTCAAGAAAAATGGTGGGGTTTGAAGCATTATTCCGAGGGAAAGAGAGGGTAGGGATAGGACGGTAGGTGTAGGTGCTAGTTCGAACCACGGGTGGTATGCCCCGTTCAAGGCGACTATTAATAAGATTCTGGTTTCTGATAGATCCTGGCATGGCTTTGGTATCTCTCTTAATTTTTCTCACTTTCTCTCTAGCTAGTTTACTACTACTACTTCCTTCCTTTCCTCTTTATATACCAAGATATTTAAACGACTTTCTCAACGACCTTCCTAGTCCATACTGTACAAATGTGGGGCCACGCCAAAATGGCATCTCAATTCTGTTTATTACGCATTCCCAAACGGCAGAGTTAGGTCCCCTTGGCCGTGGGGGAGGGGGTGAGAAAGGGTACATGAATGGTTGTGATTTTTGTTTAGGGGCTGCCTATATGTAGCAAAGAGGTTACGGTGCAGCTGTTGCTTCGGGCTAACAGCCGCTTCTTGTTTGTCAGGGTCGTGTCATCTGTGACATAGTATGCAATCATGATTTAAAAAATATCTTTTCACAATTAGATCATTTAACAAATTATTAGAAAGTATTTAACTAAATATAAATTGGTAAAATACCAGCTTTGGGGTAAAAAAGAGATACCAAAGCCATGCCAGGATCTATCAGAAGAGCTAAATACCTTTTGGAGTAAATAATTCTACGCCCATAGTATACATAGCTAAATCCTTCAGGTAGTGGCCGCATTATATAAGGGTCGATATTACTACGCCTAATTCTTTCTTTTTTTTTTGGGTAATTGTGCAACCGCCCTAAGGTTTGATTTTCGTAGCATATGTTTTTGATCGAGTGTTAAGCAAAGACCAGGCGAATTCTAGCCATGTTGAGACTTGAGTCTAAACAAATCGACAAAATAACGAGTCGAGCTGAGCCGAATCCAAACAATATTGTACTCAATTAATCTTCCACACTGTAAAGAGTCGAGCCAGATTTGAATTGAGGGGTGGAGGGCTGGACGAGGGTCCAAAGGTTTTTTTGTCCTAGGGCCATATCAAATTACGTCTGCGGATATGCAGCCATTTAATTTCTTGTTTCCCTGTGTTTTGCCTTGAATATATACTGAAGATGTCAGAAATAAACTATAGTTGTATAATCAAAAATAGTTGCAAGTAAGTGTGATACTAAATATAGATTGGTAATTTACAAATTACGGAATAAAGTTGTTCTAACCGGATAAGTGCACTGCTAGTATAGAAAAAAATTTGCCGCACCTAAGGAATAATCGTGGTTGTCTACTGCCATGAACCTTCATGAAAAGATCCTGAGAATTAACTCATATTCAAGAAGCAATTTAGTTCCATCCTCAACACAAGTCATCTGAAAACTATAAATCTTCAGTTGGCCGGTGTTACTATAGTTAACAAAGACTCAGCTTAATTGTCTAATCTGTTTACCCGTAAAACAATGTTGGAAAATAAATATATCCCGCTCAGGAATAATATGCATGGTAAATAATAATAACGCAAGAGAGTAACAATGACACCAAATCTTTTAATGAAGCCACTATAATATTGCAATTTTGTAGTGTCAAAAGACTATAACGACTCAAAAGAAATAACACTCTTTATTTTAAATATCTTACCACAATATTACTCTCACTCTATTTTCTCATAGGCTATAAAATAGTCTGTGAATTACTCTCACAGCTCTAATACTTCTCTCTTATTTTGGTGTGTTTTAAATGAAGAACGGAGGCTTCTATTTATAGCAACAGCTGCCGTCCAAATAGCCAATGAAATTGACTTGTTGCCGATTTGGTCATGCAATTTGCATTTGCAATTTGCCTACAATTTATCAACAAGTTTGGCACCCACAATTGCTGTAAGGCCCCGTAATCTTTTTTACCTAAAACCCGGAATTTCGTAGTGCTGAGGTACGCTTATATGTTTGTGATTGGAGAGATTCTTCGCGACTTGCAAGCTCGCCGCGGCTTGGACTTTTTGGGTCGAAGAATGCACTAAATGGTGGATGGAAAATTTTGGCTGAAGAGAGCGATTCTGTGGCCAAGTTTGCGACTGTAGAATCATTTTGCGGGCCGCATATCGTCCATAAAGTGGAGCAGAAAACTTTTGGAAATTTGAAGGTCAATTGTACGGTCCATTATGCGATCGCATATCCATTATGCGGACCGCATTTCTATCGTGGAATTGGAATGAAAAATTCGAAAGGGGGATTCTGCGGCTCATTCCGCGGTCACAGAACTAGTATGCGGACCGCATATCAGCCGCAGACTGGTCCAGTTTTTGAGCATAATTTTTCGTGGCTATTTTGCGGGCCGCATATTGATTATGTGGTACGGTCTGCAACCGAAGTCCTGAAAAATGTTACCCGACCCCATTTTTATAAAAACCATTTGGGGGTTATTTTGGCTGATTTCATCCGATACTTTAGAGAGTGGTGAGAGTATCTTAGAGAGAGAAAGAGGAAACCTAGCCATATTGCTCATCAAATCTTGCTCAAGCCTTGAAATTCCACAAGAAAGCTCACTAGGTCTTCATCCTAGAGGTAAGATTCTATACCCTAACTCTTAATTGCGAAATTTAACTAAAAATTGGTAATTGGCAATGTAATTATTGGGTAAGGGAGTTGTTTATTTTGCATGTATGTGTTATCAAAGGGTGTAGGAAGGTTGTAAGCTAAAAATGGCAAAGAATGGGTTGTGGAATGATGGAATCCTCCATAAAAGGACCTTGAAACCTTAATGCACACCTAGTGTTTGAGAAAATGCTCAAATGAGCTAGAACCATGATCATCTTCCTAATTTTGGTTCAATTTGTTATAATTCTAAAATAAATTGAAGTTGCTAAGAATTCCGGAATATTTTAGAGTTTGAAGAAGCTCACTTGAGGTATGTTGGCTAAACTTCTTTCTTAGAATTGAACTCCACGATGTTCATGTAAGTTATGTAAGACCCGAGTTGATCACTATGAAATTGGCTATTCCGAGTAAACTTGTGTTGAAAGATTTATGTTCAGTATGTGTTCCGAATGCTTTTATCATGCTATGTTATCATTTTCGAATATGTTAAAAGTATGGGTTGTGTGTTATAAATGTTATAACTTCAAGTCAAGTTTGAATGAAGGTGATTATGCCAAATTATGTGAAAAATCTCTATATGTCTAAGACTCTTAATTGCTCGCATGTGTACCTAAAGTCGTGAATGGAAAAGTCTTATTGTTGATAATGATAATGATGTGTAAAAGTGAAAAGGGGATCATGAAATATGAAACACGACCAAGTGCCAAGAATAATGTTATAATTGTGTAAGGCCCCGTGAAAATTTTACTCAAAAACTCGAAATCTCATAGTGCCAAGTTAAGAATATGTGTTCAGACCTTTTGGATTGATCTGTGCATTACAAAGTTAAGGAAAAATGCTTTTCAGAAGAGCGCGTTTCTGCGGCCCATTATGTGGCCGTATAACAGCAATGCGGGCCGCATATCTGCTGCAGAGTGAGTCAGAATGTTGGCTAATTTTGAGGACAACTATGCGGCTAATTATGCGATCGCATAATCGATATGTGGGCCGCATAGTCATCGCATAACCTCCTTGAGATTTTTGCAAAAGGCAGTTCTGCGGTGCATTATGTGATCGCATAATAGGTATGCGTACAACATATTGGTCGCATACCCGGGCAAATTATTCAAATCTTGAGGGCTACTTTTGCGGTCCTTTTTGCGAGCATATCAGTTATGTGGTCGCATATGTGACCTCAGATTGAGTCGAGGCTCCTATTTTTTAACTTTTAAAACCCGACCTCATTCCGTTAAAAATACCACATTAGACCCTCTTGTGCTATTTTCTACTACATCTAAAGTGAGAGAAAGTGTTCCAGAGGGAGAGGGTGATCCTCACCAAGTCACTACTCAATCATTGCCCAAATCTTTGAAGATTACCAAGAAAAGTTACTAAGCCTTCATCCTAAGAGGTAAGAACTTGTGCCCTAACCTTTGATTTCGAAATTCCTACTAGAATAAGTAATTAACAAGTGGGTTCATGGGTATAAGGATTGATTATCTTGCATGCATGTTTGACAAAAGGGTATGGGGAGGTTGTGAGCTAAAAATGTAACAAATGGGGTGTAGGATGATAGAATCTTTCACAAAAAAGTCTTAAAATCATAATGCACACTTAGTGCTTGATAATGTGCTCAAGTGAGCTAGAATCTTGATTATCCCTCTAATTTTTGGTTTAACTTGTAATTCTCATAAAATAGATCGAAGTTGCTAGGAGTTCCAGAATTATTGTAAGAATTTAAGGAAAGCTTTATTGAGGTATGTATGGCTAAAACCCTCTCTTCTTAGAAATTAAGCTCCCATGGTGTCCATGCAAATGTTATAAGTCCAAAATTTGATTGATGTAGTACTTGTTATTTCAAGTGAATTGGTGTCGCAAGAATATATTTGAAAGGTGTGTCTTAATGTGTTCAATATGCTATTCTTGGTAAATTGAGGATGTATGAAGATTGTGAACTATGTGCTAAAATGCCTAGATTTCAAGTCAAGTTTGAATTGTGATTATTATGCTGAACTATGTGAATTTCTCTATATGCTTACAACTTGAATTGATATCGTATGTGCCCATTATCTTAAATTGCAAGGTTAATGTTGAAAGTGAAAATGATGTGAAATGTGGGGGAAAAGAATTTGAGTTATGATATGTGGCCTAGTACCTAGTATGATGTGATAATTGTGGCCCCAAGTGCCGATGAACTGATATATGTGTGAACAAAAATTGAAGTGAGATTATTGATGGAAAAGGGAAACGTCTTGGTAAGACGGCTTAGCCGATCGGGCCGTGATCGGACGCCAGGCTACACGCATAGTGGTATTGTGCTGATATTGAAATCGGAAAGTGAGAATGAAATTATGATTGAGGTATATGTCTCAAATGAGGCATCTTAGCCGGTCGGGCCGTGATCGGACTCCGCTCAAGAAAGCGGTGGTATTGTGGATGATGATGCAACAGTATTAAATGTCCCAACTTAAAGCTATGAAATTATGTGAAAGCTATATGATCCCTTTTATTTGATGATATGGTGATTGAATAAAAGCTTTTATTGATCCTTATGATTTCCTTATTCTTGTATCGAAGCTCTTTCTAATGAGATGGTGTTTAGTTATACATAATAGTACTATTCCATGGTACTAGTGTCCCTTTTGCCGGGGCGCTACATCTTTGAATGGATGTAGGTGGTTCCATAGCAGACAGCGCCGGCCGTAGGTAGTGCAGCATCCTTCTCTCAGCAATCTTGGTGATCTCCTTTTCTTCCAAGGGTTATGCAGTATATCTTTTGTTATAAATTACCACTTTTTGAGGTATAG